GGGCAAGATTTTCTTCGTGTAGACGTCGTGCAGACCGGTTCTGGGGCTCACTCAGCCTCTTATCCAATGGATACGGGAGGCTCCTTTGCGGGGGTAGTACGGCCGGGGTGTTTAGCCGACCACTCACCTCAAACTAGTGCCGAGGTCAAGAATACATGGATCCATACGTCTTCGTGGGGTAGAGCTTAACTAATTAAGCGCGGGAAGAACTTTTACCAGAAGGAGAGAGAGTTAAACGGTGTACGAATTATATATTTAAGTGCAGATAACGTAACAGATGTAAAGTGCGCTTGACGAGGGCACCGACAAACTACATGGCCGATTCTTGCAAATCGGAATTCACTTTTACAAGCTGGCCCGCTACTGAAAAGAAGTATGACTTAGCAAATATTAAATGTTCAGAAAGACGTGACTGATGTGTCTAGTGCGCAGAATGGCTGATCCATCAAATGACATTAAACCGAACTAGAAGGAAGAGAATAAGAGAGCTGGGCTCTGCTGCTGTTAGCCACTTGTTACTGTGACCACATGTCCGCAGGGTGTTAACAGCACATGAACAGGAAGCTCTCTGGAGTAACAGTCGTCCACTTTCCTTTCAATATACTGCATTTACTATTTCATATGACGCGGTCCGCATAAAAACACGGCATGTGTATTCGTTGCCGCGGGAGCATGTTTACCGAGCCGTTGCCTACTAATGGCTCCACTGTTGCGGCTTTCACGTGTTGGTGGGGGCACACACAAGGTGATCTCATAAGCCATCTTTTTCTTGTTTCAAATAACGAGAGTAGGCTAAAAATACAATGCATATTGCTGAGCAACATTTCGGGTAGGCAAGTTTCCGTGGCAAAGAATAGACGCAGAATAGTCCATTGCTGGGCAACGGTTCGGTAAGCGCGTTCCCGTTGTAACTAATGGACGCAGTAGCATCCGAACTGTTCGAGATGGTGGTCTCTGCTGATGTTACTGAGCTCATACTCCCCATTCGTAAGATATCAGTGATCAGCGGACAACGGAAGCTGAGGAAATGACCGACTCATAAATCAGAACCAAGTCAGTCACAGTAGAAGAGAAGACACTCGTAGTCCAGTAGGGAATGGAGCGAGTCTTAAGCAGCCATTGATTCCGAGGTGTAATCGAAGTGCCAGTAAATCCAATCCAGAACCTGTTATTATTAATCACTGAACCTCGGGCACGTGGCATTTCGGTGTCAAGTGGTTACGTCATACGGCATTGCATTTCGAGCTTGCTTGGATAATAAGTATACTGCGCAGTTTGATTTGTTTCATTCTGGTCCGTCACACTAACAGTTACAAATATAAATCACTCCGTCCAATGTGACCTGTAAGTTTTTTACTACATGAAAACTTAACACCCTTACATGTTTCGGTTTCTGTGGACCATCTTCAGAGGGCAAACATCACTGCAAATAGGAAACCACCATCACATAAGTTGTTTAGACGTAAAGTACGTACACTTACATGCTACAATGCATAGTACACAAAATAGAACATTTTACAAACACAGCAGTTTCCTGGGAATGTAAAGTTTTTAAAAAATTATATGAAAACAGCACAGCAGCCACGAGCAAACCCTGGACGATATAAAGAACCTCCACATCAACATAGCCAGGTGGCACAATATCTGCCCCATACAAGATGGACGATTGGAGGACGAACACGAGCCTGCATGGTTTACGAATTTTAATTATTGAGAATAAAAAAAAATAATTTTTGATTAGCATCAAGAGATTTTATATAATTTTTTAAAAACTTCACATTCCCAGGAAACTGCTGTGTTTGTGAAATGTTCTGTTTTCTATTGTAGCATATAAGTGTACGTACTTTACGTCTAAACAACTTATGTGATGGTGGTTTCCTATTTGTAGTGATGTTTGCCCTCTGAAGATGGTCCACAGAGACCGAAACATGTAAGGGTGGTAAGTTTTCATGTAGTAAAAAACTTACAGGTCACATTGGACGGAATGATTTATATTTATATACTGCGCAGCCTTCCATTTGCTAAAACAACGCGCCGGCGGTTAATAGAACATTGGTAATGACGCAGTAGTCCAGGCTTACCTTGCCTATTCCAAGCAAACGAACATGCGTTCCTCGTTATGCGTCCAGATAGAACACACAAATACCAGTTCCGGCTGCACAACAAGTGCCCTCTCTGACTGCGGTGACACTGGCCGAAACATAATTAAAAACATGGCATTAAGTGCTATCACGAGCAGACGCATGGCATAGACATTTTACGCTACCCCTTCACCGGAGTCTCCGCGTGAGTCGAAACAGGACCAGTAATACTGTGACATGATGCCTGAAAGTCCATTGCTAACCAACGGCCAGCTAACATTTTTTCCGGGACAACGAGCTGGAATAGTCCACTGCTGAGCAACCGTTCGGTGAGTTCATTCACCTGACAACAAATAAACACAGAATAACAGGGAACTGTAAGACATGGTCACTTATATTTGGTTCACCTGGAAGTTTAATGAATGCATAAGGAGTGGCTCTCAGTGGGCTTATCGCCAAGACGAACTGGCGGCAAACCGCAAGTCGTATAGTAACTAATAATCCGGCCCTTGCACTGCGACTTTCAGTGATTAATTTGCTTCTCCTTTTGATTAATCCTTTATCAATCCTACACTTTGGATGAAATATAGGACTCCCTCCTGGAAGTTAGTTCAGTTCATTCGGCATTCTTAAGGCAGTTCAAAGAGTGAGCAGTGATTCTTCGTTCTTCATTCGTCACAGTGGAAGAGAAGACACTCGTAGTCCAGTAAGGAATGGAGCGAGTCTGAGACAGTCATTGCTTGTGAGTTGTTATAATTGATTGTAAAGAAGTGTCAATCCATTATCCAATCCAGAACCCCATATTGTTCGTCACGCAAACCCCGCTACGTGACAATACATATACCAGCCCCAGGGTCGCTTAAAAGGTAGGATCATGCGGGTCACATGTCGTCATCCAGAATGGAAGATAGGGCAGCTTAGATCACGTGGAAAAGCAGGTGGAAACCGGAAAAGCCTGCTCATGCTAACGCGGAGAGCGGTTCATGCTAACAGTACCCGAGTGCAAGCATGTAAAGATGCTACTTGTGGTGGCCTTTGTGCAGCACACAAAGAGAAGAGAGAAATTATAGTGTGACTCTGATTAATGAGGGGGTTGTCAGCTTTTATTGTCGCAAATTATCGGAATATTGTGAATAATGGTAGTGACATGATTTCTCATCATAGCCAAACGCTGCAGCATGTCGTATTTATGAAATTATTTAGGCTAAAATGCGATTTTTCAGACGCGTGTAATTGTTATTTACTTATCTGTGGTATATTAATGACGCTTTTAATGTAAAAACTATATATAGCTTCGTGTGCTAGTGTAAATGCTGGATAATGAATCTGGAAGGATGTGTAACGAAATGTAATTGTCCAGTTTGAGGTATTGTGCACTGCTTTCCAGCAATGACTGAGGAAACCCATGAAAACCATTAGGATACCTAGTCATTGGGGGCAATATTTAATCCGAGGACCTCCTAAATATGGACTTCTATCCACCCAGCCGCCATTCGCTGCGTATTTATGTCTTACCTTGCACACGAAGCATACCTGTTCCATAAGCATGTGCATGGTACTTTCCCACAAATTATTCAACGTATTATGGCATATATATATATATATTTTTTTTTCTGCGGCGCTACAGCCCCAATTTGGGCCTAGGCCTACCTCCATGAAACTCTCCGTTTCACTTCGGTTTACTAGATCTTACACATTCGGTAGGACTCCTTGGGCGAGTGATCAGCTCGTCGCAAGACCTCTACCTGTAGACAAACACAGTAGGGTCCAAGACCCAACCGAGTATATGTCTTCCACTCCCCCCCTCACGAAGTCCAAAACACCGAGTGATTCTGAGTATGTTCGCTGAAATCCGAAATATTTTAATAAGAAGAGATGCATGTTACTAGGTTATGGCACAATAAACAGTGACATATGTTACGCCGCGCGACGTAACCAATGGAAGTACCGCTGGGAACGGTGTTCTCTGTAGGTTCGCTCCGATAGTTACGACATGCAACAAAATAGGAATTGTGGGAAGCGGTGTTGTCTGTATCGGAGAATCGAAACACAATCCTATCAGTCGAGAGTCCAAAAGAGACTTAAGTTTGCAGTTAGCAATTGGGAGGCAGACCCGTCGGAGCTAGTCGCGGACCTCTCATGGGAGGCGGAGAAGCCCACATTTTTGTGATTGTGTGGCAACGCTGAGTTAGGTGTGAGATAGACGCCAGCCTGCGAGGACGTGAGCCCAGGAACTAAGGAAGCTCTGTCGTTAGAAGCCGTTACTAGGCAACCAATAAATGACACCAGAGTGAGAAGACTCAGTGCGTGCTGTAGTGAACTGTGGAGCGTGTGAATTTGCGATAGTGCTGTAGTTACTTGCAGGTACGATCTGTAAGTACTCAACTAATCCGATTACCAATCCAGACCCCATTTAGAGTCACTCCATCACGTGACAGTACGAGATGTATCGGAAAGTTCCCGGATTGTTGTTTTTTAACTGCCTTGGTGAAAGATGATTATAGGAGAGGCAAAGGTCACACTTCCGCAAGCCTATTGCATCATTCTGCCACGTGACACCGCGCTGCTTTTACACGAGTGCTTTTTCGACTTCGTGTTTCGTTTTGCCTGTGATGGATGACAAAGATGTTATAATCGAGATAAGTTTTGAAGTTGGAGAGTTTTAAGGGCGTCTGTGAAGGGAATACTAAGTCGGTGTAGTTGAGAGCCAGCGGGCAATGAAGTGAGCGCGGAAGCTGAAGAATCTCCATTGTTAGAAGCCGCTATCAGGGAACTACTGGTGAAGACACAGCAGACTGAGAAGGTTTAGCGTGTGCTGTATTGATGTGTAAAGTGTAGAGATAAGTGTAGTCACCAGGCTCCGTCTTTGGAGTCACATTCATACACGTGACAGTATATATGTGTGTAATCTCTGTGCAGGTCGTGGTGGAGAGCTCTAATTCTGCTTTGGAGTACGGGGACCTGATCGTCGATGAGAACTCTCCCGTCAACCCGGATCTCCATTTCGACTCTCAGCTCATGCATCTTTACGTAATGACCGAGAGAAAGGTAAGGATCAGATTAATGGCTCATTACCGAATTCTGCTCTTCTTTGACTTCTTCGTCTTTCTTAACAACAATTAAGTCCGAAACCGGTTTTGATGTTGTTTGGATTGTTCTTTCTGTCTCTTTCTTGGGCAGCGTATCTCTTCGTCTTCCTGTTCCATTGTAAGAATAGATTTGCCAGTATGAACTTCGGGGCTACCCTCTTTTACATTCTTTGTCGTTGTATCTCCTACCCTCAGTTTTGTCTGTAATCATTCTTGCATAATCAGTTTTTTTCCCCCTTGGCACTACAGCCCCAGTGGGCCTAGGCCTACTTCCATGAACTTCTCCGTTCACTTCGGTTTTTCTAGATCTTACACATTCGGTAAGACTCCTTGGGCGGTTGATCAGCTCGTCGCAAGGCCTATACCTGTACACAAACACAGAACAACGGACACACACAAACTAAACATCCATGCCCTGAGTGGGATTCGAACCCACGATCCCGGTTTCCAAGCGAGCGAAGACAGTACATGCCTTAGACCGCTCGGCTGCCGTAACCGGCGCTTAATCAGTTTACAGAATCTAATTGGCGAAGTTTCCAAATCCGCACAGTGAGAATACCGACTAGGTAAGGTCAAAATGTAAAGCTATCCCTGTAACAGGCCGTGGAGGCACATAGGGTTGTGTTACGTCGAGGCTTCCACATTTTCTAGAAAGTCGGCTCACAGATGGCCGTGAGGTTGTCAGCCTTTCCCGCCCGCCGCGCTTTACTCCCCAGGTGGTTTCCTGGTACTCATTTCTGTTAGTGGTTGAGTCGACCTCAGGACCATAGTGCGGCTTGAAGGATTAGGTCAATTGAAGAATCCAGTGATCTAATCGGGGAGCGAAACCGTGGCCTTCCGGGTTGTAGCATATTGCATTAACGAACTACGCTACCGCGTGCCCCAAATGCCAAGTAGGCATACACAAATTAGGCCGTCCTTACACCACAGCGTTCTTATTGGTCTCTATTGAGCCCAAGAGAGCCCCGTGCAATGTGACTGACTGCTCTCTAAGGTAAAAGGTAAAGTTTTCCCTGTGCTTAACTAATTAAGCACTACGCCGTGAAGACGTATGGGGGAGAGCATATATAGATCCACATTTTATTGACCTCCTCACTAGCTGGAGGTGTAGTCAGATTCACGCCCCGGCCGCTTTACCCCCGGTACTCATTGGATAGGAGGTTGGGTGGACCCCAGAGCCGGTCTGTACAACAAAATTCTTGACCCTACCGTGACTCAAACACCGACTACTCGGTAGTCCAGCCCGTAGCCAGTCGCTATACCGACTACGCTATGCTGGCACCCTTGTGTTTTCGTGTATGTAGGTAAATGTGAACACGGTTGAGTCAGCAGCAGAATCGACCGGACACAGATTTTTGTCCAGACGTCTGGGTAGCAGCGTGCTTCTGCCACTCCCATCAATGACACCGTCTGCAGGCTGTGCAGTGTAGGAGACAGCTCGCTTACTCCCACTGCAGTTCGCGTTTTCGCTTTGTGACCGTAGAGAGCTGGGCGGATGTGTGGGAGGACGAGCGTGTAGTCACACCCAGTGCGCCTGGCGCTTAGTCTCTGCACAGACCCGCAAAGCTGAAATCTCAAACCGTACCTTAGTCGATTTGGCTTTTGTTCCCTACGAATTATTTATTATTTTATAAAAAGGTAAAGTTGCTCTTGACTAATTAAGCACTACGCCATGAAGACGTATGAGAGAGTGGAGGTATAGTTCCACTTTTCTTGACCGCGGCACTAGATGGAGGTGAGTGGTGAGCTTCACGCTCCTGCCAGTTTAACTCCGGTGAAAGAGCCCCCGGTACGCATTGGATAGGAGGTTGGTTGTGTCCCAGACGGTAGGGAAGAGAAGAATCCTGCACTGACGGGAATAGAACCCGGGCCATCCAGCCCATATCGTGCCGCTATACCGATGCTTTTTGAAAGTTACAAAATTAACTTTGTAGTTCAGTAAATTTACGAAATAACATATTGGATTCAGGTGTGAGGTTAAGCACTACGCCATGAAGACGTATGAGAGAATGGATGTATAGATCCACATTTTCTTAACCTCGGCACTAGTTTCACGTCAGGTGTGGTCAGCTTCACGCCCCGGCCGCTATACCCCCAGGGAAAGACTCTCAGGTACCCATTGGATAGGAGGCTAGGTGGGCCCCAGAGCCGGTCGGGACGACATGGATTAGTGAAAATTCTTGCCCTCACCGGGACTCGAACTCCAGCCTTTTGATTGTCCAGCCCGTAGCCACTCGCTAGACCGACCACGCTATCCCGGCTCCCTTCTGTCTCTAAGTATTGCTTCGAAATGAACTTTGTTGTGATCACGAATACTTCGCAAGATAAAATTTAGTTCGTGTTGTAATTGTGAGTACAGTTTCATGCTGAAAGCTGTCTTGTGGACTGTGACGCCTTATAGTCTGGTAGATGTTTGCTGGCTTTCCTCCCAAGTATCCTCCAACTTTAAGTTGTACGGCGTCATGTTGCAGGACAGAGTGATCGTCATAGTTACCTTTGTGAGAATCTCAGTTCTAACTGATTTAATCTTGATACGTAACAGCCGGGAGAGACTGGCCGGTATAGCGTCTGGCTACGGGCTGGACGGCCGAGGGGTCCTGAGTTCGAGTTCCGATGGGGGGCAAGAATTTTCACTTCTCCATGTCGTCCAGACTGTGCTCACTTAGCTTCCTATTCAGTGGTTACTGGGGACGCTTCCCCTGGGAATAAAGGGGCCGAAGCGTGAAGCTCACCACACCTCCAACTAGTGCTGAGGTCAAGAAAATGTGAATCTCTACATCCGCTCCCCCATACACCTTCATGATGTAGTGTTTAATCAGTTAATCACAGGGACCATTGATCCATACATTAATGGCTCTACACCCCTTTGTTGGGCCCTGGCCACTTCTTCAGTTTTTTTTTGCTCAGACGGTAGGACTCCTTGGACGAGTGAAGCACGTGGACAAGTTACTCTTTTTAACGGCCCACTCTTAACGGTACAGAATTCCGTTTAAACCTACTGCAAATATGCACGAAATACTTCTCTTGTATATCGTTATATCGAAAAAGAATTTTATCACAAGGATCTAACTTCCATTACTGCGCAGTTGAAGTTAATTATACCGTCATGAAGAGCGTTCAGAGTTTTATAAAAGGCCAATTGGTGTAAGACAAGGACATATGGACCAAAATTACGTGGTCCGTTCAGAATTCTTCAGTGCCGAAATTCGTTCACTGAGCCCAGTTTTAGAAACAATACACGCAGACACGGAAACATACTACTTTCGGTAATTTTGTGGTCTACTCACAGTGTTTTGTTGGCTCAAGTCTGTTGTCAGCGTCTACTGTAATTTATGGTGCACCATATAGACACACCCAATGAAATTTAATTTTCATTGATCCCAGCTTTGACGTGTGTTTTGTCATTTAAAATTACTGTGTGCGACGTGTTTCTTCCTCAATTACAGGCTTGTAACAGATTATTGCAATAAGTGTTTGTGTAGCTGTAAGATTTGTGTCGGCGTTTATTCACAAGTTTGCCGTTTCAAAGATAAAATCATCCGTGACGTAATGATAAGACTGTCTTCAAATAAATAACGCCGTGTAGTCCGTTGAAAGTCATTTCGGAGGAAAACATCGCTTCTATCTTCAGGGCAGATCCTGGTTGCCACGTGCTTACGTGCTGGTTTCTTGCTGTACTTATTTTCCACCATAAAGAGGCTATGTTTTCCTTCGAAACGTCGGTTGACTTTCAGCGGACTACACGGCGTTATATTCCGGAAGACAGTAAGGTGAAGCTAGAGCTATTCCTGTAACAGGCCGTGGAGGCCCATAGGGTTGAGAGACGTCGAGGCTCCCACATTATCTAGACAGTCGGCTCACAGATGGCGGTAAGGTTGTCAGCCTTACCCCCCAGGAAGATTCCTGGTGCTCATTTCTGTTAGAGGCTGTGTCGACCCCATGGCCATAGTGCGGCTGGAAGGATTAGGTCAATCGGAAAATTCTGTTACCTCATCGGGACCGTTCGGCTTGTAGCATAGTGCGTGAAGCAACTGCAGGTCCGTGTCCAATAATTGTTGTCTAACACATCGGCCTCACGTGTGAAACAGATTTCCGTCATGCTAATACAGATAATATGTAATGTTTCGTATTGATCGAAACTTGGGACATTTAAGAGTGTACTGAAATTTTAGTTCGGCCCAGATATTCTGAGAGAAGTTGCTATTGTTAATGAGATTAACGAACACGAATTTCTTGTTTCCTGTTTTCAAATGCAGTTATGCCTTTTTCCGGCATGAATTATACCATTCTTGGATATTTTGACTTCATAACGTGTTTCACCTAACCCGTGTCTAAGTTCAGATTTCGGTTTTGAATTTTAAGAGGTGCTTGCGATGCGATAATTTTTTTCTCTTAATGAATTTCCAAGGGACATGAAATTTTTCCTGTAAACACAGATTCAGGAAAGATGCGTTATGCCGGAATCTGGTGTTCTGAAGACCGCACTGAAGAAGACAGTCACATTCCGTGTATGACAACTGAAAGACAGACGTGCGTACTGGGACCAGAGGCTGTTCCGATATATGTTGGTTTTACGCCGGCTTTACCGTGTTTTTATATGTGAAATGTCACGTAAATTTGTTGATAAACGGAAGTTTTGCGCACGGCGGCGCCGAACGTAAATACTTGCTTGATACGTGAAGTGACGGTTTCTTTTTATCGTCGGAGTTAAAGAACTGAACTTGCCCCACAGTAGAAAGGAAGTCTCACAAACTCCGTTGGTCCCACCGCTGCAGCTTGCCCGCCCGCACAGTTAGGGGGAGTTAGCATCCCTTCTTCGTGAGACCACCCCAGGGACGTATTGGACTTATCCCCCTCTGCCCTGCCACGGCCGTGCCGCTCGATCGGGACCACGTCATGGCTCCTAGACCCGATTTTCAGAAAGCTCAGGACGCGTGACTCAGAGCAAACGGGTAGGAG